TGACCCGTAGACATCTACATTTATCCTCGATTAAGAATCAAAACGCAGATACGTTGTCACCCCTGAGGACTAAGATGGAATGCTTCGTTTCCAGTAAAAGGGGTCTCCGAATACTCTACACTCACCATTAGTATCACTCACAATCACACAGCAGTATTAGGCTGCTATTTTACGCTGGTATTCTTTGAAAGCGTGGTCGTTATCCGGTCCTGCCGACCCATTCGTGCTACAACCATAATATAGCTGCAGCGTGACTCTATCACGTAAATTTTTTTTATAGGTAACGTTAAATTATATGAAACATTAAAACTTAAAACTGAATTCAGTGACCTTGTACAAAAAATACTAATAAATTACATCTCAATAATTTGAAACAAATGGATATCATCTTACCACATATCCATCCATCAATTATAGTTTATAAAACTCCACTCCTGAAATGCCTTCCCTATAGATTTCCACATAGGGGGGAGAGGAATGTTTCCATAGTTGTCACGCTTGGCAAGCGCAGTTCCTTCTAATTTCGAGTTGTTATCATGGAGACTGCTGTCCGTCTCGTGGTTGGTTTCCCTCCGTCAGCTCTTACCCACGGGACGATATGGGGTAGTGGATATTCTTACACCGCCACTACACGGGGTATATTCTTACACCGCCACTACTGGGAATCTTACACCGTCACTACACGGGGTATATTCTTACACCGCCACTACACGGGGTATATTCTTACATCGCCACTACACGGGGTATAATCTTACACCGCCACTACACGTGGTATATTCTTACACCGCCACTACACGGGGTATATTCTTACACCGCCACTACACGGGGTAAGATTATACCCCTTACCCTTAACAAAAATGTTATGTAACAGGGTAAGATTATACCCCGTTACCCTTAACATTATTGTGTTAAGGGTAACGATGGTAACGAACGGTAACGAACTAACGAAGGATAACGAACGGTAAATTCAGATGTTTCAATGGAGACTTTTACACTTGGTAGAAGCACCCTGCAACCATATTATGGTTGAAGCACGAATTGCACGACTCAACTGGGAAGAACCGCTCTCTCATAGAATACCTGTGAAAAAATCAGCTTAATGTTGCTCTGTTTCGTATGGTGTATGTAGAGAATTAAAGAACCGTTTTCTTTTCTGGAAACGAGGCTAACTAGTGCACAGGGTAGACAACACATCCTAATTTTTTGTCCACTTCCGGGTGCCCGCTTAACACTGAATTTTATCGCTGAATCAGCCGATATAGTTCATTACTATTGTGTCTGAAAATCGGACAGTGATAGTGTTAAATACATGAATATAAAACTTGTTATAAATATAAACTTTTAAAATTTTTGTACGTGATAAGAAAACTATATAATCGAACGAAGAAATTACATTTTTGTTATGAGAGCATCAGGTTTTTATGTCATTCAAATTATAAAATAAGTATATACGAAAATTTCAAATATCAGACTTATTTTTAAAAAATTGTGAAAGTACCTATAGGCAACATTTAACTAAATACAGTATTAAGTCAATGTTGAACACGATGTCTTGTCGATCCTTCTTATAACAAATAATGTCGATCCGTCTTATAAAAAGTTATCTCTCTTATGTCTTATAAGAAAAGGTATGGTTTAAGAAGACTCTTTCAGGAATGAAATTCCTTAGTCGTGAAGCTACAGTTTTTGTCGTACTTTACATTTTAGTTTATTTATATTTCTCGAGACTGCTTTTTATGACACATCCTCTAGATTATGCCTAAAACCAATTATGAACAAAATTATATTTGAAAATGAACGCTGCTGTCTGTGCTGTAATTTGTTTTTCTTTGTGATTTTCAGATAAAGTTTTCTATCTTACTTTAAATACGATTATGCAAAGTAAGTGAGACGATATTTTGCAAAAAAATAATATTCAAGAGGACAAAATTAATTTGCTCAGATGGGCATGCAAATAAAAATGCCGATTATTGTATGGTGGTGTAGAGCACCACAATTGCGTGTACTGACTGTTGCTACCACTTTCCAAGCCTACAATTATTCGAAGCTAGTAGAGGTTAGCAAAAATCGCCCGTTACTCACAAAGCTCGGCAGATTGTAGCCTTGTCTGTATGTGCCTTGTTTTACCTTGCAGCTTGCACCATGAGGCATGCACTCATAAGATTTACATTTTTTTTAAATCAAATAAGGTGAGAAAACGAGCACATAGTCCACCTGATGGTAAGTGCATACTGTGGCCCATAGACATCTACATTCATCCTCGATTACGAATAAAAATGCAGATGCGTTGTCACCCATGACGACTAAGATGGAATGCCTCTTTTCCAGTAAATAGGGTCTCCTGTTCTCTACACTCACCATACGAAATGCAGCAGTATTAAGCTGCTATTTGACGTGCATGGTCATTCGCCGGTGGAGCCGAACCATTCTTGTTACAACTATACTATTATAGCTGCGGCATGGCTCTACCACGTATAGAACACATTGGCTGTGTTATATCCTTTCATCATGGTGTCTTGCTTGTATTATCCTCTGCTCTCTATATATAAAATCAGTTGCTATCCGTTAGTCTCACTAAAACTCAAAATTTAAAAAAATGTTTTTTTTGTGTGTGCTTGAATGGTATAAATTCACGTTAGAACCCGGTGGATGGTGCCGTTATCGAGATCCAAGGACCACCAGTGTGAAGCCGGGGAAGTTTTAAAATTAAAATAAAAGTATAATATTGCAATTAAAATACGATATAATATCTAAGTTTGCATTTCATTTGTTTGGTAACGTAATTGTGACGCGTTTTAAGCAGAAATCTACACAGCAACAATACAGTGTGTTAAACATCTTTAAACATTTGAGTGAAAATGTTACTATTGCGAGCTACATAAATTAGTTGAAAGAGATATTCGACTTGAGCGTCAATATTTCACAGATTCGTAACTCCGTTGATTAGTGTTAAATAACTGTTACTGGATGGAAGCGTGTTCTTTAATTACGCCTGTGGGGGCTCAAAGTTTCATGACGAAGTTTGGTTAAAACTTTTTCGTATACATTTTGGATATGTTATCTCCTAAACGAATGGCTAGTTTTCTTTATGGTAAATATTAGATTAATTTCTGTTGTGAAACACCATTTCATAATATTTAATGGAAAATTTAGCATTATTTGCACGTAATTTCTAACCCCAAGGGCTTATAACTTTACTGGTTACTCTACTAATAATTAATTAAAAATAAACACTTTTTCTGTCTGGAATTCCATCTCAGGGAGTAACTATTTTTTGTCTTCAAGCAATAATGGATACTGTTGTAAGGCAATTTAAAGAATATAAGTGCGAGTACGTTTTTTTTTGCGCCCGAAGCAAATTTTTGCAACCCTCCGGAAAGCGAGGGAGGGAGGCGGTGAATGCTCATAGCATACCACGCAGCCGGCTGCGTGGTTATGTGGAGACTTTTACCCACTAAACACCGCCTTTATGGATTCGCTTACCGATCTGACGAGAGATCTCTAAGGCGTATACGAACGCGACCCTCCTTGGCAGAAAGGGCGCAAGCGAGTACGTTTTGAGGCATTTTATCTTTGTTCTCAGGGCTAACGACGCATGCATGGCCTTTTTACCTTAGTTAAAAGTATCTGTCGACTGCAGTAACCACTAGACAGCCCCATGAACTATTTAGTTAATTTGTCACTCCAATATTATAACGATATTGTGATAATAACTGTTTAAAGTTTTAATACTTATCTCAAACACTATAAAATGATTCATTTGTTTATAAGCTTTTTTTAAATTATGACTAGTATACATCCCGGAAAAATTCAATTCTACCAATACAAACATAATATGTTAAAAGTTATCAATTCTATTTAATCGCACTGGCCAGAATTTTTTTTCATTACCACGGTCACGGTGACAGCCAAGATTCCATGACGTGGCTTGAGTAGTTGGCAACAGATTCGTCAACACTTTGTAAACATAAATAATACGTCACTATTTTCTAGATACGATTTTAAAGAGGAGCATTTTCAGAAGAATATTGTATAAGTAAATTAAATTGTTAAAATCTGAATGAAGGTAAAAGTTTTCGAGAATGGAATTCTAACGATATTTATAAATCAAATTTTATTTTCTCCTTTAAGACTGAACATTTGATAGCTCCAAAAGATATCAAATAGATAAAAATTTAGCGACGACTAGGCACACCATAACATCTTGTCATTTATCCCGGTATTGCCAATGATTATTTTATTAAAACTTAACAATTACATATCCGTAGGTAAACAAACTGTAAACAGAATGCTGTATTTATTTTTACGATCTTCAATGAAATATATGTGTTAACACGGTTGTTGAACATGAGGTCCCGGCTCGGACCAAAACCAGTAATTGGGTTTTTATATCATGAAATTCTGAGTGTCAGCCCGGAGTCAGGAAGTTTTGGCGGTGTTCAACCGCCTTCCTCAGGAAGCAAGTAAAAGCCTTTGATCCTGCGCCGATCTCTCCGGTCGCGTCGAATTACGGTCCCATAGGTCTGTGAGGGTATATACTGTCCTACGCAGAAGGTTAGAGTTGGGACCGGTCTCTGAGATCGAAATTCGATATGGAGGACAAAATTATGTGTTTGATTCCTATTTTTGGATAACTACAAGAGTTTTCGTAGTAAATAACATTAACTATACTTAACAATAACCTTGAGTGACCTGTGTACCCGTTAACAAAGCATTGCTTACAGCGTATCCCAACCGTGTCATCTGGCATAGAACTGCATCAGTGATGTGTAGTGTCGACGTAATACAGACAGAACCGCTGAGAATACGCGAATGTGTTTATTTGTGGTGCTTGTAGCGACGCGCGACGCACGCGCCGGCCATGCCGCCGCCACTTCAGTTGTTTCGTGGGAAGCCGCACGGAAGAGCGCGTTTCTCACACAGAGTTTATAAACGTAACTCGGAAAGACCGGCCGGTAAAAAATTCACATGTTCCTGAAAAAAATAATAAATCACTCGCAATGTCAAATCAAAAAGATCACGATGCCAAGCATCGAAGAAACGATAACCTATTGAAAAACTTACCGACAGAGGTTTTGCTAAAAGCGCGAAGCACTCTTGTGTCTCTTGGTGGTGCTTTAAAACCAAAACACGAGCAGCAGCAGCAATCTAAGACATTAAAGCCTGAGTCAAAAAACAAGAAGAGTTACGATAGGTTAAAAAGCTCGCGTTCGGAACCAGAATTCAGCGAAATTCGCTCGAGCAAACACAGAAGTCGCATCGATGATGTAGTACCTAGAGAATATAGGACTGGACCCAGACAGCGACCACTCTCAGTGGGTGCTGGGAAACGGTATAATGACGACATAAATTATCATGGCGCAAGTTTCTCAAGGGAGATATCTCCGCTGAGACGACAATTTGATTCGTCAGATGAAGTGTGCGTGCAGTCTCGACTTGTGATACCTGTCAATGAAAGACTCCAAAACTTGGACGTCCATATGCTTGATATTAACGAAAGACCTAGAAAGAAGCTATCATTTCGCGAGCCTGAAATCGTAAGCAACGGAAATGGAACACTAGGACGATCGAATAAACTGATGGGCGTTAACAGCCTTACTCGTCGACCCAATAAAATATCACTTCGTTCCGATATTCATTCCAGCTTAGATGGCCTGGACTCAGATCTAGAGGTAAGTCTGTAGATTGATGCAAAATATTCTAAAGGTAAAGTTGTTTTTTAAATAACGTAATATTTCTTCTTGATAATATCTCCAATCACTCTTCAAGTTTTAGAGAAAAAATATTTATTTAGATATTTAGTGTAATCATGTAGGCACAAACAAATACATTTTCAATGTATTGTGTGTTGTAATTTAGCGTGATAGCGATACGTATGATTTTGGGAACAAATGATATTTCCCAATATCATTTGTTCCCAAAATCATCAAAGATGAAAATTTGTTATCAAAAATGTTTTAACATATTATTACCTCTAAATTTTGCTCGGGCATTGTTCATTACGTTTGAGTCAATGCGCTAGAAACTATAAAATGTGGATGACTTGTAAAAATTTGTGTCATAACAATACAGTTCAAGTGCCCCAATTAAATAGTTATAAATATAGTTAAAAATTTCGAGTATCAACGTGTTGACTGTATTTTTTAATTTTTACATTACACCTCTAGAAAGGACTCATTTTTATATTTTACAAATTTTCATTAATTTAAAACTTCAAGCTATCAAAGTTTTGGGCGGAGCTACTTTGGAAGTGTAACGAAAAACAAAAGAATATTTACTTCAGTTTAGTTGAAAACTCTTGGTAATTTTTTATGTTTGTGAGCTGTCGGTTTTATAAATTCGTTCCCTCAAAATAATTTTCGTATCAAATACCTATTTCTAATCGCAAATCTAGTATGAGACACGCGTCTCGACCGCCGCGGATGGTTCTAAATAAATTGGCGCCTCCGGTGACATTTCTGCGTATTATTTCGCAGAGCCGTGGTCTTCCGTCAAGGGCGACATTTCCGTCGGCGACTTCATTTATTATTTAGAAAACTTCAAGCGGTTGCGTTTGCGCGGGATATTTTAGAACGGTTGCCGCGAACGTGTGAATTACGCACTTGAATGGGTGCTGGAACCTGGAACAGAGTCCCGCTATCATTGATTCTCTTAGTGCGGTCGGTTTACGTTGTGAATCAACACACAAGTGCTAATAGAGCATTCAATTTAGATATTACTAATCTATTTTGTTTAGTGTGCCAGTGCTTCATTAGTTATGTAGTATACAGAAATACCTATACTTTATTAATGTTTTAATTTGTATGAATTGAGTTTAAGATTGCAAACCCGTCTGTCGAGCGTGGTATTTATTGAAAAATCCGCCCTATGAGATAATCTATGAAGGAGATCTATTTTCAGCAGTGGACTTTTATAATCTGTGCCTAATGGATGGATGGATGGATAGAATGCAGACGCTACAAGAACCTAACCACAAAATTACAAATTTATCAGATAAGTTGACAATGTCGTGACATACAATATAAAATCCATTTATGTTCCAAACAACAGAATTGCACACACAACCTTTCAGCTTTTTTAATAGAATAAGGGTGACAAACGAGCACACAGTCCACCTGATGGTAAATGGATACTCTGGCCCATAGACATCTACATTTATCATCGATTATGAACCAAAACGCAGATGCTTTGACGCCCCTGAGGACTAAGATGGAATGCCTCGTTTCCAGTAAAACAGGGTCTACGGATCTCTACACACACCATACAAAACACAGCAGTATGAAGCTGCTGTTTTACGCTGTTATCCTAGTGGTCCTTCCCCGGTCGAGCCGACCCATTTGTGCTACAACCATAATATAGCTGTAACGTGGCTCTACCACGTATAAAACGACGACGCCACTCGGATGAGTTCCACGCGATAGAAGCCGCAAGCTTAACTTATAGGTTATAATTATGACTTCGATGATTTAAAATTCTTTCATGCAACGGTTGATGAAGGGGCTTAAAATAAAAAATAAAAGCAACTCAATGTTGTCAAATAGTTCATTGAAAACAATACAGTTGAACTACTGAAAGCTGTAAAAATCCAATAAGTATTTTATAGCTATTTCTTTCCAGTCCGCCCATTTAGATTACAGACCTTGCTAGTCTAACTGAGATTGGAAAACTATAAGAATATTCAATGAAATTACCATCGCGTTAATTAAATTCGTATCTATACAAATAAATAAAATTGAAGTGTCTGTTTTTAATGTCAAAGTAACAGCTTTTTATTAAATGCTTTGAAAATATATACGGCGTTTAAAACAAAAAAAAATATATTTTTTTAATTTTTATCTGTCTTTCTCTTTTACCGTCTGTCTGTTAGATCCGGCTAATATCCGAAAGGGGTGTAACTATAACATGGGAATCGCCTAGTCGAGCAAAAAAGCGGCACGGCCGTACTATACTTTTCTGGAAGAAATTCAGGCAATTTTTGACCCCCTATAACTTCGTAGTGGATAAAACTAGAATCCTGAATTTTCAGTAACCTTAGTAGGAATTGTATAAACATGGTATATTTCCAATTTCACTCAATTTGAACCAGTAATTTAGGAATTATAACTAATCAAAGTTTCTTAATTTTGTCACTCACTGACTGACCGATCATCAAAACTCTAAGGCACTTCTAGCAGACATAGAAGCTTCAAATTTAAAATACAATTAGTGTTTAGTGTATAAATTAAGGGAAAACTAAAATATTTTTTATTTCGGTCCAGTTTTCTAGATACACCAACTGCATAAATAACTTTGTAATACCATATAAATATATAGATTTACAAAGTTACATTTGCAGTGAATGAATCAGTGTACTTGTATATGTATAATAGGTGTAGATAGGTACGTTGTTGGTATTCAAAAAGTAGAAGGTACCGGAAAGGAAAAAAGTAAGACTATCTTATCTACAAAAAGAAATGAGATGCCGATACACAATGTATCTCAAAAGTAATACATATTATATTAAATTAGATTGCTTAGTGCGATTGCCAAGTCAATCTATATATTTAAAACATAAAAGATTTTTAACATTCATGTGGTCACTATAAAATGTTGTTAGGTTAGCTAATTACGTAATAACTTAAAACAGAAGAACTCTTAAGTAGGGACTGAATAAATTAACCGACTTGGTATTACATGGATCTCCCAACTTTTTACGGTAGAACTGAGTTGCGAGACTTGTTTTTTTTTACAAGATATGTTTTTGATGGCATACATTTTACAATAGGTATGCAATTGACCAATTTAAAAACCTTGACTGACCATTTGTTTTTTAGTTCGCGATGAAAGTTTTACTGTTTCAACTTACTTTTCAAACTGGAAACTTCGGTGTGTATCGCTTTAAGATGGCTCTTTAAAGCGGTAGTTGTGCGTTCTTTTCGCGAGTATATTTTGTCACATAATTTACATTTGGCTGCTAAATCATCAATCTCAACATAATAGTTCCAAACACAACAGTTTTTGGCTTCATGATTGCACTTAAATTACACACACGACTCAAATTACTAATTAACTAAAAAAACTATAACTGAAAATCTTACGCGCTTACACTCATGTCACGCCGTATAATAAAGTTAAAACAGTATCTAAACAAACCTATTGGTACCAGTGCCGAAAACACGTGCCCAGCTCACTTGTGATTGGCTGAAATGATCCCCCCCTCCTCCGCCCCTCCTCTACTAATGTGGCTGCTGTGTCACTGAGTTCCGTTCAAACTTGCGTAAACGGAAGCAGAAACGGATGTCAAAACCATGCAGAACTTCCGCAGTTGCGGAAACAGAAACGGAGTTCTGTTGCATCACTAATATCTAAGTAACTTAGGTCACTTTTATTTTATAAAAAGAATTTAGGTTCCGCGTAAAAGAACCAAAACTCATGAAATCCATACGTAATAAATTCCACACGGATAAAGTCTCAGGGAACAGCTAGTTAGGAAAATAATTTAAGTTTTTTGGTTTGACATATTCACACAGTAAATACACAAAAATATTAGCTAAAAATTAGTTATAATTATATTGTCTAGTAACTGCGCCCGCGACTTGTTCACATTACTAGCTATTTCTACGGTTGCGTTATAAAACTGAGTTAATTGGTATTTCTCTCAGTTTGAAGCTTTATTCATATGGGCCTAATTTTAATTATACAAACTACACTACTGTTCCAACTCCAACAGTTTGTGGTTTGTTTGTGTTTATTTGCTTATCATTTAATTTAGTATAGTTCGGTGAGGTAAGACTAGCATAGTTTCCTACCAGGCAGAAAAAATGTTTTTTTTTTGAAGAAGTTCTTTGCTCTACTTTTGATGTATGAATTATACTGATATAATAAAATAAACTTTTATAAGGTTATAAAGATCTTTGCGTAAGTATTTTCAATACGGTAATACTGAATAAAATGTAAAACAGGAAAAACTGTTAGTCTTCCTCCGTCCCCTGGAGTAAGACTAACAGTAATGTTTTTACTTTAACGTGTGTACATTATGCTCTTTCTGAAGGAAAATTATTAGTTAACAGTTGTAACTTTTATTCTGCATATTATGTTAAACTTTCCAGGTTTTCCTTTTGAGATATTTGAAAAAATATAAATAAGGGGCAAGACTAACATAAATGATATAAAATATACAATATCAATTCAATATAATTGAATTGCCCTTTTTTATTAATTTTTCCCTAATAGAATAATAAGTCTAATTTTACCCAATTTAATTTGCATATTATATGGAGACTACATACATTGCAACCCCCACCCCACTTGCATTCCGCGTGGATAATAAGCTATTGTGAATGCGTTATATTTGTGATAAATAGTTAAATAATTAAGATTGTTTTACGAAGTCATAAAATAACTAAAATGCGCTTTTGATGCTGGATGCAAATAATAGCACCGCCACATCTCTCGTGGCTGTCGTAAAAGTCGACTAAACGATTTACCCGAGATAGAGCCTGCGGCGTTTTCTTAGTACATATACTCGTATTGTATAAGCGTACTGCGAAACGAAACTGCCGAAATGTCAGCCAGGCGGAAATTCGTTGACTTAAGGAAAAATCTTAACCAACATGGACATGGGATGGATTGAGATTATATGGCTAGAAAGGGGGGTTAACACAGAGATGACGGCTGATTGGGATGTATGGAG